TGGGGTTTTTGTTTGGTTTTTGCAGGGGTGCTCTCAGGAGTATGCAGTGTAGGAGAGCATTGCCGTATTCCTAGGTTCTTCTCTCCAAGAGATGGCAAGTAGAGACAACTGTTCTTAGTTTTACTGCTGTTTTAAGTTTGTCACAATCCTGCAGGTTAGATGATAACTGCACATCCCTGTTTCACTGAGTGCAATGTCTCTTGCACCTTCTTTTACACTTTAAGCTGCAGATTTAATTCCCTAACTGATCTTTGCTCTTCCCTTCAAATTACTTGGGACATGCAGGTGGATTCTTATGCCCTTGTATGACCAGGTGTTTCTCATGAAAGTTAGCTTTGCAAGTTTTTCTTATACTTACTTGGCAAAGCTGAAAAAGGCTTGTAGTAAATATTGATTAGAGGCAAATGTCAAATTTAGGATAGGGAAAATTAAGAATTGGTCTGCCCCTCTACTCTTCTCTCATGAGACCTCACCTGGAGTATTGTGTCCAGCTCTGAGGCTGCCAACATAAGCAGGGCATGGACCTGTTGGAGCAAGTCCAGAGGAGGGCCACAAAGATGATCAGAGGGCTGGAGCACCTCAGCTATGAAGACAGACTGAGAGGGTTGGAGGTTGTTCAGCCTGAAGAGGGGAAGGCTTTGGGGAGACCTTATAGCCCCTTCCAATAGCTAAAAGGGCCTACAGGAAAGATGGAGGAGGCCTGTTTATGAGGAAGTGTAGTGATAGGACGAGGGGTATTGGTTTTAAACTGAAAGAAGGTAGATTTAGATTAGATATTAGGAAGAAATTCTTTACTATGTGTGAGACACTGGAACAGGTTTCCCATAGAAGCTGTGGATGCCCCATCCCTGTAGGTGTTCAAGGCCAGGCTGGATGAGACTTTGAGCAACCTGGTCTGGTGGGACGTGTCCCTGGCCACGGTAGGGGCGTTGGAACTCGATGATCTTCCTACTCTAACAGTTCTATGATTCTGAACAGCATTCATTAGAAACTGCTGTAAACATTCAGACACAGGAGTGTCTCAGGTTTTGCCCTTCTTTTCCAGTTTATACTCTGTCAGGTGAAACTCATCTAATCCTGGAGAAAAAGCTGGACATAAGTGCTCTCACAAGTCACAGTTGTTGGGGCCTAGTATATAGCTTGAGATGCTGAAGCGCAGAGAAATTTCTTTTGTTTACAGAATCCCAGCTGTGATATTGGGGAGAAGAAATCTAATAATTTTCTAACTCTTAAAAAATGCTTTTCTAAACTGGACCACCACCTAATTTGTGTTAAGCCACAAACTAAAAAAGCCTCCCCTCCTTTTAATTAGAGTTGGTGAGGAGGGTAGCAGGCTGGTGGCAGTCTGCTGGCAATTTATAGAACACTTTTGCTAAGCTGGAGCTGCCTGTTAATGGCTTGCTAGGACTTGGAGCACAAAGAAGCAGCAGTCTCTTTCATAGTATTTCTAGTAGCATGTTAAATAAGCAAGGGCGGAAATATATTTCTAAGTAAAATACACTATCATTGATGCTGGTGACAGAACAGCTGATGTGCTGCTTGGAAGTTGCTTATTTGTACAGGGTGCATAGTTATTGAATTGTTTCTCCTTTGTTTACATACAAGCTATGTTTACTGACAGTTTCTCATAAACGGATTTTTGTCAAGCCTTGTACTGTTTATCTTAAAGTTCAAGTGGACTAGATAAATCAGTGTAGTTCCTGGAGTGTGCTTTCCTTTAGTGGTTTGGTTCAAACTCAGTGGATCTTGTAACTACAGAGCAAGGTCTGGTTTCTCAATATTTGGGGACTTTTTCTTTCACTCCTTCAATTCCAGATACTTTCTTTACTATGCAGGGCTTTTGAGGGCTGGGAGAGTGACATTTTGACAGGAGTATGAGTTGGGGAATTTGCAAAGACTTGTTTGTGAGCAATACAGAACCATATAGCACTGTAAAACTTACCTGCTTTCTTCATTTGTAAGTAGCAATTTGAGATCTTGAAGATAGAGGACAGAGAAGAATTTTAATCCAAACTATGAATAGTTAGTGGAAAACATTCAAAATATTCTCAGGTTCAGTTGAGACACCTTAAGCTGTTTAAAGAAGGAAAAAAAAAAACCACCACCCCAAACCACCCAACAACACAACAGTAAAAAACTGCTAAGGGTGTTCATTATTTGAATTTACTTGAATGGCAGACTGTGGTGCAGGTAAAGGGTGCCCAGTTCTAAAAGGGAGGCAGTTGGTCTGCTGCTCCTTTATGATGCATGTAAAAGCAGTGCTGGCTGCGGTTACGTCAGTTGCTTATCGCTGAACAATGCTTGCTGGAGGCAAACATAAAAAGAACATAAAAAGTATTGAGTAGCTGTAGGTCTGCCCTCTTCCCTCGTAATCTAGTAATGCATTGCTGAATGAAGTGTTTCTAACCTAACCCTAGTGAGTGTCTGACACAAGTGCAGTTGCAGGCAGGCATCCCTTGTGGTGATTGGGGTGTGATGCAGGGCACAAGCTCCAGCTCAGTGTTAATCTTCAACTCTGGAAAAATTTTCCAGTGCAACGTAGCTGTGGAGCCAGTAGCATTAATGACTCCAAATTCCAAGCTCTGTTGAAGAATGCAGGCCAAGTTTTTTCCTCATCCTTTCTTCCCCCTTCCGTAGTATTTATCTCATGCTATTAGTGTTTCTTGAAAACAAGTCCTCATGTAACCTGTCCAAAATCAGTGCAGAAGGATCTTAAAAGGAGTAGGCTGGAGGTGATCAGAAACAGAGGGGATGCAAGAAACAAAACAAACTCTGTTTTTCTACATTGCCTGCACAGGTACATTACCATACAGCAGTGTCTGCTGCAGCACGGCAGGAAACACGGTGACTTGCTGTCTGTCTTAAAAGATATGCAAACTATAAAGCTCCATGTCAAGTTGTTTTCAGGGCTGGCCTACCTGTGGTTCTCATGTGATATTCGTGTTATGAATCTTTACATGTTACAGGCTCCTGCTGCTTCCAGCACTGGCTAAAATAAATATTAGCATGTCTAGTCTGTCTTTTCCTGCAACTTTGTGTTTTAAAGAGTCTATTAGTAGCTTACCATTACAAGAGTAAGCAAGTGAATTGGTTATTCAGAGATGTTTTAAGCATTCTGCTCTAAAAGCTGCATCGGTCTGTTACTGCATGTGTACAGCACACACTGGAAAACTATTTTCCATCTTCCTGTGAGAACAGTTTTTTCCAGACTGACAAAGAAACTTGATTTCTTTCCTCAATTAAAACCTGGAAGAGAGTAAACTCCAGTCTAGTGTTGGAGTTAGGGGTGGGACAAGATGCCATTAGGCTTAGTAATAAGATATCTCTAGGTCAGTAGGTTTAAATGGAGTATTAAGTGAACATTATCCTACTTTGCAGCTGTTTGGTATTGTCAGTTCAATAAATACAAACAGATCTGGTTTTTTAGGATGCAGTGCTGTACTAACAACCGTTATTTCTCATATTCTCTGCAGTAGGAGAGAGCAGACTAAAAGCTACCTTCCTCTGAAAGGTTATAGGAGATCTTGAGTCTTAGCTATTACTTCTAACTTGTACTGAACTCTCCTTTGCATTTTGGAAGACATTATTTTAAAAATCCTATTGAACAAATCATAGAACTATCTAGGTTGGAAGGGGCCTTCAGGATCATCTAGTCCAACCATCAGCTCAACTATGACAAAGAAAACCCATCACTAAACCATGTCCTCCAGCACCATGTCAACTTTTTGAAGTTTTTGGGAGTGTTTGACCCTCTCACATTACAATAAAATTGCTGGTAACTATCATGTCAGAATCAAACACCAGTTCTAGTTATTGCATCAGAGAAGTAAAAGCTGGGCTTTTTGAATATCGTATGAATTGTACTTGTGTGTTAGTGGATTTTAAACTTGATTGTTAGCAGCATTAATCAATACCCTAATTTAAACCCCACTAAATTTGGTGTTGAGGGTTTTTTGGGTTTTTTTGGTTTTCTTGTTTAAAAATGGTATATATAGTGTCTGGTCGTAGTTTTAAGAAAGATATTTGGCAAAGTTAAGAATACTGATCTTGGAAAAGGTTCAAGAGAGCATTTTTTTGTAATGATAATGCCAAGGAATTAGGGGTTGGTTTTGGAATTGGAGTTCGTGGTCTTGATACTTTTCCCTCAGAGCCTCTGTGTGATCATTGTTACAGAGCAGTGTAGATATTAATAAATTGGTTATGAACAAGCACCGGAAGAATCCTCTGAGCAGAGCTGCTTAAAAGCAGAAAGTTCTTGGCTGTGTTCTGCTCTAGCAGAATGGGAGTAACTCCACTGTCAGCACAAGTCATGCTTGGCTTGCTCACAGAAATGAGTGGCAGACTGAAACAAAACCTGTGCATCTTTACCTGGTTAGCCACTTAAAACTCTTTTGTCTTCCCAGGTTCTACTCTACGGTATTCTGTATTCAGAATCTAGTCTGTCTTGCTCTAGTGGGTAGACTCAGGAAACACTCAATCGTTGTTTTCATGGTACGATGCCCAAAATACAAGTGGAGTTTTGAAGATGTCTTCATAAGTATTTTAATTTTATTAAGTTGCCACACCACAGTTTTCACATGTAGCTCTGTGTGCATAGTGCATAAATCTTTTCTACCCTTAAGGATTTTTGGCACCTTGTTTGTGGTCAGGAGTGCACTAAACATTCAAAAAAAAAGAAGTTAAAATTTACCATTAGAAGTTAAACATTTCACATACTGAACTACTTTCCAGAACTGGTTTGAACAGCATGTACTGGATACTGGGCACCTTCACTACTTTGGGAAACTTTATTCTTGTCTGTTTAAATTTTCACTCCGAGTTGTGGGGTTAACAAACTGACTTAAGTTTGCTTGCCTTCAAGGACAAATAGTGGCAGCGTTGTCACGCATGTTCCGGTTGTTTCTTCACCTTTTGCAATTTGACTGTTGAGTATAATGTTAATGTATCCTTCAGTGTCTTTGCAGTTAGGAATGTGATGATCCTACTTTTTTTTTTTGCAGTTGTGGAGGTACTGTTGGTGCAATTCTGACATGTCCACTGGAAGTTGTAAAAACACGATTGCAGTCCTCCTCTGTGACTCTCTACATCTCTGAAGTCCATCTCAACACTGTGAATGGTGCTAGCGTCAATCGAGTAACTAGAGTTTCTCCTGGACCTCTCCATTGTTTGAAGTGAGTGTACATATTACTGGGGTTTTTGCTCAGTTTGGGGAGGGAGATAGAGGCGTTGGGCAAATACATATGGAAGATTCAGACTCTTATGTCTGTTATGATGCTAACATGAGATGACTTTCCATATTTTGCATTTTAACTGTAATTAAGTTTCACATTCCACTTTTCCAAATGTCCTTCATGCATGAGTTTGTATATTGAATCAGCCAGAGTAATGTATCCTGTACAATTCACAGGTCTAAACTATATCCCCAAAACTCACTGGGAGCACTGTAATACTTAAGTGCTAGGCTGTATTTTCATTCTGAAAAAGTGTTAGTATGAGTTTTTTTTTAAACTGTCATGTGTCCAAATCATAGATGTTGCTGAATATGGAGGCAAGAAATCCTATGAGAATTAACTCATCTTCTCAGTCTCTCTCACGTTTCATTACCTTGGACCCTTTCTTGCCTTTTGGCATCTTCTAGTGGATGTAACACTTTTAGAGCTAATAAGAGATAAGTAAGGCCAAATTTTTACATGATTTGCATAGCACCTCACTGAATGGGGACTGCCTGTCCTCTCCTTGCCACCAGTGCTTGTGATGTTCAGTTGCCAGGGAGGAGACTTGTATGGCCACAGTTAAACTGACCACTGACAGGGTTCATTTCATTCTGGGGGGCTCAAGCTAACCAGTTATGGGGGGGTGCCTTCAGTATTTGGGTACGAGAGGGGAGTTTCCCTACAGAAAGAACTTCTTGAATTAGGAAGAATTTGATAAGACTGGCTGTCCTCTAGCTCCAGTTAATCAGTGAGACACTTCCGTATCTTAGTGTCAGCAGACGTGACTTCAGAGGCATCTGTGTCAGGAAAGAAACTCAGAAGAACTTGTACGGGTGACTGCATGCTCTGGCAACAAAAGCAAGTTTTCTTATTCTTAAATATGTGGCATATATCATATTGCAGATACCTCTCATAACTAACCTTGCAGAGTTTAAACCTGAGGTCTTCATAATGGAAATCTGCCCGGCCTCCCAATGCAGACTTCCCCATGTGACACATGCAGGTCAGCTGAGACCATACCGAACATTTGTGAACATTTGTGCTGCTCTTCTGACCATGGATTTGCCATTTACTGCTTTCAGTAAACAGTGCAGGCTCTGAACGTGCTCTTCAGTGCAAGTAGTTTGTGTCTTATTTTCAGTGTAGGCTCTGGAACTCCTCTGGCTGGTGTCCATGAATGCAGAAGAGCATCAGTAACTACCACCCTCACAAATCCTGCTGCAACCTCTCCTCTAACTCTGTTTCTCTGTCAAGTCTTGGGATGCTGTACATCCAGAAGAAACAAATAGACCTGGTGCACTTCACTCCTAAGTTTCTCTTAAGACGCTGAGGTTTCCTGCTACTTTGTGTACATGCCTATTTCATATACGTGCATATATACATATTTGTAACACATGAAGCTGTGGTGGTAGTGATTTTTAAGTAGTATTTGAAATGGATACGGATCATTTTAATTGGGTTCAGCTATAATGTGATGCTGTGTCCATTCTGAGCTTTGTGACCCTCCTCTGGACTCACTTTAACGGGTCCATGTCATATCTAATTGTGAACACAAAGCTAAGATGCTGCTGGACACAATATATGCCAGTGTTTCTAAATAGTGGTGGTAACTATGAAGAAGCCCCATTTTATTTTTGCTTGCTGAAAACAAATGTAAACTTTTGGTTTCATTTAGCAGCAGAACTATGGTGAATCCACTATCAGAAATCAGAAAAGGTTTGGAATGTTCTTCAGTGCTATAGATGGTTTTCACCTGTTTGCTCTGATAGTAAATTCAAAACAAAATAGTAATTCATACAAGGGTAGTTTGCTTTGAGTAATTGACTTGTCATTAACCTGCATGTCTCTTTGAAGAAGAAATATACAGGAGAACAATTTGTGTATATTGGCCAGCGTTTCTAAATCAATAAGCACATGGTTCTGTGTTGCAACCTCTAGTGAAGTAGTTAATTCTTAACTTTAAATCTGGTTCTCAAGCAATTGCTAGAGAAATTTGCAGTGATGGGATGCAGATAGTTGTTGTTTCTCCTCCCATGTCCTACCACACTTTTTAAAAAAACATAGCCTATTAGCATCTAAATTGTTGAACAGATTGATTTCACTAAACCTGAATGTTAATGGATATCCTCTTACTATGCCAGTGTACCTTGCTCTTCCTAAAAACCACAGGGATATTGCATGGGACAGGTATTAAAAAACCCTTAAGTACTAGTAATGCCTCGTTTGAGGCTTCAATTCACTGTTCTTATCCCTGTGTTTCTTTGTAAATCCCACAAAGATGGAAGGTGACACCCCCGTCACTCAAGCTGTCTTTCTGGAGCTGTGTTTATAGTGGCTGTTTTTCAGTTAAGCTCAAACTTAAGTGCATTACCTTGCTTGAGGAGGTAAGGAGTGTCTTTTCTGGAGTGAGTCGAAAAGGAAAACGCGCTGGTTCCCCAGCCCAGCAGCAGCGCTTGGGTAGGAGCCTGCAGGCAGTGGCTCAGAACTGAGAGGAGGGAAGCCCTGTTGGCCTCAAGGAGGGGACACTGCTCACACTGGAGGTTTCCATTTACTTTTACTGTAGTCAGAATACTCACTGTATCTTGTGGAAAGAATAAAGTGAAAGATGGTTCCTAGTTGTATGCTTAGTGGATTTAAATCACGTATGGAGATGGGGAAGGCAGGACTTAGAGGAAAACACCCTTTCAGATACAAACTTCTGATACGTAACTGAGCATGCTGTTAGGAGTCTCGTAGAATCAATCCAGAGTAGCCCATGCAAAGCCATGTTGAGGGGTCTGTGTTTTTGAGAAGATTAGATAAGAGATTGTAAAAGATGTGTCTGGCTGGGCATGATAAGTGATAGAGCTAACATCTTCCAAGCTGCTCTTGGAAGGCATGTGACTTGCTGTAACTGAACTATCAGAAGTCCTTCTCTTTTGCCTTTCGCTCCCTGTCCCTCTCACACAGAAACGTTGGGAGCTAAAGGGTAATGAAAACAATGCAGAACAGAACCAAATATTTTTCTCTCCATCTAGAACCTACAGAAATGTGAACATTTCCATGCTTAGTATTTTCTCTGTGATAAAAGGACACTTTCCTTAACTTCCTAATAACAGATAACTCTGTGTTCCTATCTTTGGGTAAATCTATGCTGACATCATAAGGCCCTACTTCTGCTTTTAGTTCCTGGATTTCTCTGACATGTCAAGCAATAATGGAATTTTATTTTATGCTGGTTCTAGGAAGTGGCTATTGTTTTTTGTGGTCAGCACTGCATGGTCAGATATTATGAAAGTTTTACAAAGAGTAAAGCTTAAAATGGTGGTGGTCAGTGTGTTCCTTAATTTTGATGTAAATGTTACAGTATTGTCACTTTTTTGTTTTCTAGGATGATCTTGCAGAAGGAAGGTCCTCGTTCTCTGTTTAGAGGGCTGGGTCCTAATTTAGTAGGTGTTGCTCCTTCCAGGTAAATGAAATAACTTTGAAATTTTGGTTGCTATATGTTATTGATGCGATTTAAGATTTATTTGCAGTGAGTCTTTGCAACTGCAGTTGTAAATACTTAATAGCAAATAACCTTTGGTTCCTGGGGTAATTCCATTGTCTGGAAATTGAGCCACTTGTGTACTCTGCAGCTCCTGTCCCTCATCCCTGCATCAATTTTCTCAGCATTTACTGTCATATGGTACTATAATAGTATTTACTATCATATACTGTCCTTTATGCAGAGTTTTGTCCAGTTAAGAAGGAACATGCTTAAGGAGTTGCACATGTAAACAAGAAGTTTGTACTTTTGAAAATCCAAATGTAGATTTAGCTTTTAGTTAATCCATCATTTTCAGGAAGCAATTGTGTGGACTATTAAAACACTGGCTCTTTCTTCCTGAGTGCTGGTGAAGCAGAGGCTACTCTCTCCCTGCAGTAGGAAGCCTGCTCTGAAACTTCAAAAAGGGCAAAACTGGGTAGGATGACACACTCGGGCTGAAATCCAAGGGGTACTGGGGCAGTGTCAGAGTGCAGTGGACGAGAGTGTAAATCTGGTCTAATTGGCAGTGGTATTGCTGCTCTCAGTTTATCTGCATCCACCCAAATGCTCCAGCTGCTTGGCTGGTGCTGGCAGTCAGCGAGGTGCAGGCAGGAGCCTGAAGCTGAATTGATCCTTGCATACAAGTGGTAGCCTAACTTCAGTCCAAAAATAGGAGAATACCAAATGAAGAGTATGGAAACAAAGTTGTATAAAACTAATCTAACTAGTTAATCTGGGAAGAGGTTGTGGTCATCTTTTGACCCATTTTTATTCCCTTCTATTCTGTTTTGAGAGATGTGTTCTTATGCAGAGGGGATATATTCCACAAAAGTTTTAATATTCCCTTGATTTAGTGCCCCACTTCTTTTTTTTTTTTTGTGGGTTTTTTTTGGTCTGAACAGAAAACATTATTTGAGGAGTATCTTAACTTTTCTGATTTAAGGTCTTTGGATGCTTCTGGAAAATTTTATTAAACTGTACTTCCCATTCAGCATTGATCTGTCTTCTGCATAAATCTGACAGATGAGGTGTTGCTCTGTATATCCTCTGCATGAATAAGAAAAATATAATTTGGGAATTGGATTACTTTTACTTTAGCAGAATTTTTAAGGAATTTAGGAATACTTGAGTTTTTTCTGATCACAAACTAGCATTGTTTTTTGGAGAAGCTCAAGTTATTCCAGTAGCTTTCTTTGTTCTTGACACCTGTAGGGTACTTCTTCAACTGAAGGTCCTGTTTGTTTGATAGTCCAGTCTGGATCTGAATGTTAAACATTATTTTTTTTATTTTTTTAACAGCAATTTTTATACAGCAATGAATTCTATTTTATTAGTGGCTATCCTCAATGAAAAAAAATTCTCAATTGAAAAAAAACTATATATTTTTTCAGTAAATTTTATGTGGTATCTTATAATTCCCTTTCCTTCTTCCCCTGGGTGAAATACTTAGTTTGCTTCTCCCCTTGCCCTGTGTTCATACTAAAAATGTCAACTTGGTATAATGTGTGAAGTCTTATAAATAAGCACATCCTCATTTCCCTCCGGCTGACTCGGTCTTCATCCAGTACTTCATTTCAATTAAGCATTAGCTAAGTGGATTTAACAGCAGCTCTTTGTTTAAATAAGCTGTAGAGAAGCACGTTTCATAATACATCCAGTATACTTAACTAAGTTCAGATTCCATTTTAAAAATTACACCCATGAAGCAAGCACTTTATCTTTTTTATAATAAAGAAAAACATGTTTGCACAGCTAATGAGGTTAATGTTCTGTTCATGAAAATGTGCATGTTCATTTTTCCTCTTGCAGAGGGTTATGTGTAAGTTTAAATAACTGAGTTAAAACCTTAAATGTGAGTTTTAGATGTGCTTAAAACAAGTTTTTTAGCTTTAATGGATGAAAACATGCCTTTTTCCTAATATTTTACATTGACATACTGACTTTATGTCTAGCTTTGTCTTGATACCAACTGGAATGTAGTAAAAGTTGACAATATTTTTCTTTGTAGTGTACTCAGAGGAAAAAGCTAAATACCAACTAAAGGAACAGCTGTTCTAATGTTTAAAATATAAATATTTGTAACTACAAGTTACAAAGTATAACTACAAGTGTTCAATATTTACATTTTAAATTGTAGAACAATTTTATAAATATTCAATGTGCTCTTTGGTTTAAAAAGCTACATACTAGTTCTTCTGAAATTGTAATGCTATTGAATTGAGTTTATGCCCATTAGTACAAATTTGATCCATTATTAAAGACATACAGAATTGTGTGATTCCACTTAGTTCAGCAGTCTTTAGCTTTTCTGCTTAAACTTCCTAGTGTCACAGAAATCGCTGCCATATTTTGAATTATCTATCCTTCCCCTCACTAATTGTTAATCGGAGCTGTTGTGGAAGAAAAAGTTGTAAAGTGTGCTCTTCCCCCTTTCTGGAATAGTCGTGCTAATTTGCAAGCATTAATCATTGAGTAGTTTTCTGCTTAGGAACTAAGGCTTTGACCCAAAGTGATCTTGATTCAGTGAAGTTAGTGGCACTGCTCTTAAGGGTATTGACACACAAAACATAACTTGGATTTTGTTCTAATTTTAGAGCGATATATTTTGCTGCTTACTCAAACTGCAAGGAAAAGTTGAACAGTATTTTCAATCCAGACTCTACCCAGGTACACATGATTTCAGCTGGTGTGGCAGGTAAGGATCTGTAACTTTTTAGCTTCATTCTAGAGTTGTATCTACAAATGAGAGGCAGCAATAAATGTAGAAAAAATAAAGTTCAGTGATTGAATGAACTCTTTGTAGTGGTTACCTTCTTTGGCCTCTTATTAAACAAGCTATCTGGAGAATATGTGCATGAAACATTGCACTTGGTGTTAATGAAGATCTTTAAGTGTGTGTGTGAATAGTCTTTTCTAGGAAAACTTGCATGCCTGCTTTCTTGATTGTAAATTTGTGACATGTAAAATGAAGACTTTCAAAACAGTAACTTTTTGCTCTGCAAGCTATAAACAACATTGTTTGCACTGAACTCTGCCTTAATGCTGCTTAACCTGTTTTTTGCCATAACTTTTTCTGTTACAGCTTTTTTTGTCTTTCTGAAATACACTACAGATATTTGTATAAATCATATGTAACAGTCCTCCCTCCTTTGCTCAAATAAGTCTGTGTGAAGTTTGCTCTACCACTAAAGAGACATAGAAGAGCAGATTTCTGTAGTGTTCACATTTTCATCACTAGAAATTATTTTCTTCTTCATATTTGCAGTGTAACTTTGGTATATTTTAGTAACCACCAATTTTTGCTGCTTGATTTATATGTTCTGTGCTTTGGGTTTGTTAATGGGGGGAACTAAAGGCAACTGAGCTGAGTTGTGGTCATGGTCTTGTGCTGGGCAAGTCAAGCTTGGGCTGGCAACATTTTGCCTATTGTTGCCTCTGTCTTTCTTACACGAAACCAAAATTTCAAAAGCTTTTTTCTGTATAGGCTATAAACACTTCACAGATGAACTCTGACACTTTTATAGTAGCCTGTTGAAGTTTCTAATTCCTGTCAAATTTTACAACTACTGTCTGTAATGTGAGTCCTAGCGATCTGGAATGGACTGCCAAAGGTGATGTCAGAGTAATGAATAGGATTAGTTTGCTATTTAATACTTGCTAATAATCTGATACAAAGAAATGGTTATAGAGCATAGAAAGTTTAAGTGACTTGAGCTTTGTACTTTAACACGCTAATACTCATCTCTAGCACATGAGAAATGTGATGGCAGTTTTTAGTCTTCTGACTTAGAAATATAAGGCAAGCTATTTTGTCTTAAATAGGCAAAAAGCTGCTCAGATGATGCAGTATTTTTTTACCAACTGGAAATGTGTGCTTTGTAGGTGAACAACATGGGGAATGAGACAGAAGGGGATTTCATGAAAAGTTTATCCTAATCAGTTAATTGCTTCAGAAACCCTAATTATGTAACTCATTTTTCTTGTCCTCAGCCCTTTGTCAAGGGGATGAAACATGTCCTTAAATTGGGGTGGAGGGGGAAGTATGGGAAATAGAAACAATATCCTCAATTGAAGACAACTTGTAACTCTTGCAGTGCTGTAGAGGAAGGTTCAAAGTGTTGCTTATCTTTGGAAGTTGCTGCTCTCATTCCATAATGAAAAGAACATTTATGGAGATGTGATGTAGTGACTTTTTCCAAGTGCTTGCAGGCACAGACTGTAGTTTGTCAAAGAGTTCTGTGTCTGCTTATTGACTTGCTTCCCTTCCAGAGGTTGGTGTTATGCATTTGTGCTTCTGACTGTGGGAGACTGGGGTAAATGTATTTGAGCTTTAATTGCTGTTTGACTTTTTTACGTTTCTGTACCAGCTTTTAAATATTGAACACTTTTTGTGAGTGATATCTGTCTTACACTTACCTAGGTCTGCAGTTGTATCCTTAAACCAGATAGCTGGTGAAACTGAGTGCAGGTTCACACTACAGGTCACAGTTTTCTTTCTCTTGAAATGGCTTGGCACTGTATACTACAGACATTCTCTGGAAGAGCTTTAAAAGAAGGTTCTTTGACAAACAATTTCTTGATACTCCGTACTGATGCTATTCTGATTTATATGTAAAGGACTGTAGCTAAAATTAACAGTACTTTCTTGGGAACATGCTAACCATGTTTTTGTAATTCTAATATATTTCAGAAAATGCACTTAAACCAGCTATTAACAGTTTTACCTGCAAGGTTTGTATTGCTATATGATGCAAATGAAGTTAAGGAAATGGCAAAATAACAGGGACAAGATGGAATGTGAGCTCTTAATTGGCTGACTTAAACAGGGTAACATAGAAGGTCGCCATAATATTTGCTTTGGAACTTAAGATTTCAAAATTGGCAAAGTGGATAAACACTTCTAATAATTAGCAAAAAATAATCAGTATTGGTTTTTTTTCTTTTGCAGCTGCCAGTGGTTTCAGTAAGGAATTGAGTAACTCAGTCTTAAATGAGGGATTTTTTGTTTGTTTGGATTTGACCTTACTGTTGCGTAAAAGCTTCTAATACCTAATGAGCATGAGGTGGTGTTTGCACTACGAAGCTTTTCCTGTAGGTTGCAAAATACAATAATGATGCAAAAATACAACTTTTAAAAAAAACCCTTGCAGCTTATTGCTGTATGAAAGTACTGCAAGTAGTAAAGTGCAGTCAACTTCAAATACTGTTTACTTGTATCATATATTAGTACATAAGTATCTCGGACTAGACTGATGTCATTGTTAAAATCAGGATTATTTTATGCACATGGTATTTTGGTAATCTGAGGTATGGATTTTTAAGCATTTTTGTTTGGTTTTAGGCCTGATTCTTCCTTCTTGAGATAAAACATGTATTTAGGGGTTTGTTAAGATCTTTTTATTAATTTTATCCCAAGGAGGATGAATTATGCTACATATTAGTTAGTGATGCCTTATGCAATTAGAAATTTATGTTTTTCTCTTGCTGTGTGCTAGCTTCCCACATACAATTCACGTCACTTTCATACCTAAAATATCTGTCCATCGACATGAAGAAATACTTGGCAATCTTTTTTGCTTACTTCTCGGCATATCACATGAATCTGTTTTTGCAAACTTGGACAGTGACTATATCTGAAGCATACTACAAGAATGGGAATGTTTGCTTGTGTCAAGATAGTTTATCTCTGTACATCTCACAGTTAGGCAAAATTCTTAGATTCATTAAACTCTGCCTTATCATTACACTTAATCAATCTCTTTTGCCACAATAGAGTATAAAAACTTCTGTAGAGAGCTGAACAAAATATTTAATTCCTATATGGCTTTCTGATTTGCCTTTTTAATGATTCATTCAGACAACATGGTTGCACATCTGCTGCAAAACTACTTTGCCTTGTATACTATTGCTGTTCTTTCTGTAACTCTACTGGCAAACCAACCCAAACCTAGACTTTGATTTAAAAAGAAAAAAAAAAATGGGACCACTTTTACTTACAGAGGTACCATACTTTTCTAAGTTTTTAGTATGTACACAGTTACTTAATACCAAATAAAATGTGTATTTAGTTCATTGATTACTGATATTAGAAAGTTTGATTTCATAAGGCATCTATTTTTTTCAGTGCGAAGACAAGGCTAGCTTTTTTTGAATGATATTTGGGGAGGGAGTGGGGAATAAGGAGGATTCACTTATAAATTTGATATATAGGTAAGTATTTGGAGACAAAAAATTGAACTGCTGCAAATGAGCAGAAATTTCAGTACTCAGTGCATTTTACACAACTATTTTAATATCTGTGGCCTGTTCTTGATTATTTTTCTTTCTTTTTTTCCTAAACTTTTACCTGAAAACAGTTAGATCTCACAATAACTAATTCACAAATCCTTCCAATGGGATTCGATTTGTACACATGTGTCTGTTGAGGTCACTGCTTGTTGTTATGATACAGAAAAGCCTGTGTCTATTTTAGGCATTTACTGTACATTTCTCCCGTGAAAAGAGTGAGATCGTGTCATCTCATGCTCCCCCTCCGCAGGTCACTTCCTGCAGAAATATGGACTAACTTAAACCTCGTGAGTACTGAACTGAGCGTCTCTTGCAGCCTCTAGTGTAAGAACCACACATTGGGTTTGTAATATCTATTAAATAAACAAACTAAGGGGAATTCACTTTCTTTATCTACTCAAATGATGTGCATTGTGCAAAGACATCACTTCTTAACTCTGTTAAGAGTTATTTTTTTCTGTGCAGTTCAGGGAAAGGTGGAAAATACCTTTCACTGATAGCTGCTATGCTACTTAGCTCTGGCTAATTGAATGTCCCTACTGGGTTCAACAAAGCCTTTTATTTTTTTTTTCAGTGTCCCAGAGCTGCCTTTAAAGTGTTGCAGCCAATATTCTGTGTTGTCACATTATTTCAAAGACCTCTTTTCTTTTTCTTTTTTTAATATGTATACAATCTCCTTTCTGTCTCTTTGTTTTCTCTTTTGGTTTGTTTTTATTTTACTACTTTGGATTTTAATTCAGCATTTCATATTCACGTGTGTCTGTATCAATTACATTGGCTTATAGATGAAAAAAAACCCCTAACCTTTGAAATGTGATGCATAATAGGAATACCTGGGATCTTACCTGTCAGTAGCTGATATAGTTCAAAAAGGAGCTTGGGGTCATTCTTTCCATCTGAAACTGGGATAGAATTTCATAGAATTTAAAAAAAAAAAAAGAAAAGTACAGGAGTTTCTGGTATTGCCAAATTGATCTATACTTCTAATGAATCTGGAATCTTAATCTTTGAGGATAGAACACGTTGAGCATTATAAAGCATTATAAAGTTCGCTGAGGTTTCTAAAAAGAAAAAAGAAAAAAAAGAAAAAGGAAACAATTTATACAATCGATAGTGCTTCATAGTAGGTGTTGAAAGCCCCCCACCTTTATTTTTTTAACCAGTTTTTCTGGTTAAAAAAGAGTTCTTAGAAACTTTTGCTACAGTTTTTCTGTGTTTAAAAGGAAATGCTTATCTTATCAAAGATCCCAAAATTCTGGATGTTTCATGTTTTGGAGTGCTTTCCTTGGGTGTTAGCATCACTCAGCTTCTAATTTATCTTTCCTCTTCCACTAACTATATTTGCCATGCTACCTGTAAGAATTGAGCTGTAGTTATTTCATTCTGAAACCTGAATTATTGAAGGCTCTTGGATTTGAAAGCTTTAGTTGAAACTGTCATGCTATTTAGGTTTATGACACCCCTAGGGAAAAAAATTGGCCGTGCTGCAAAGGGCCTGATCCAACTGTTAGGAGTACTAGGGTTCCAGGGTTAGGATCTACACAGACCACTGGTTTGGGTTGAGTAGGAAGGAAAAAGGACTGAGCAGATAATGCTAAGATAGAGTCCAATAGTAACAAAATTCCAAAGTATGTAACTTAAATAGGAAGCAAAAGGCTTTCTTTTTCTTGTTCACTCTTAATTAAGAGCTAGGAGGGACTTGAGAGCTAATTTTGTTTTAGATTTTTTTCTAGTGAGATGTTTTTTCCTAGAAAATGTATTGGTAGGGCAAGTTAGTTATTTTTCCCACTTTATTGAAAAGCCTTTGCAGTCCTGTGCGTTCCTAGTGCCCTTGACTGCACTATAGATAGGCCAAGATTCTGATTTAAAGTAAAAGAAAATTAAAGCTTTCTTAATGCTAGTATAAAGAAATAAAAATATGCAAGAACAATGTTTCATTGCAGTTTAGTTCAACCCAGGGTTAAGTGTTGCTAGGATTGGTGGAGTTCAGATGGCATTGAGAGGCCAGAAGGGCTCTGGCTGTTGAACTGTGGAACCTTTTTTGCACATGCAATACATTTTAAAATCATTCTGATCCTTGTTATGGCAGAGTAGTTCCCTGATGCTTTGAGATTTTACATAATTGCTTGCCTACATGAAATAAAGATAAAAGGCACTTCTGGCTTGTTAGGATTCCATTGCATCATGTGAAGGACGTATATATACACCTATACATAGAAAAAAGAAGTAATGTATTAGGAAAAAAAGCCCCATCTAAACCCTTATTATCTACTCAATTCACAGGAAGTTATTTAGTTAAGGGTTTGAGTCAGTTTAAAAATCTATTTAATCAAAAGATTAAACTGAAATCCCTCATGTGGTTTTGCTATTTTGGCACAGAAATATAGCTAAATCTTAGTAGCTGTTAACCCTCGTAGTGTGTCTTCAGAACTGTAACTGAAAATCCTAATGACCTGTTTGGGGTGGGAGGCAGAACAAACCTTAAAAACAGTTAAGATCCCCTGGCATTTCTCGGAGTATTGCAGTCATTTGTGTGCAACATAAACCTAGACTGTGATTGAACTGAAGTAACACATATGCAAACAGTTCTGCTAAATATATATATATATGTAAGCTGTTAATGATCTCGATAAACAAGCTTATCGACAGCCTGTTTGTTGTTTAAGTATTGTGCAGCAGTTATGCACTGAACAAGATAACTCTTTGTTGCTTTCCCACCACCCCAGTCCATTCCCTTGCAGGAGGGCAGCATGTCTCTGTAGTGATATACCACTGATGTGTGTCACTTAGAAAGCAACTGTCTAAATTTATCATCTCTTGCCTGGCCATGTTCCAGCTCTTCCCTTTCCCTTTTCTCTCCTGCAGACATGTCACCTCATTAATGGTGCACGTGTGCTATTACAACTCTAGATGGGTTTTTTTATTTTATTTTTTTTTTCAGAGCTGCCTTTCACTCTGCTCTTTCTCTCCACGGTTGTGCAGAAGTAAGAGTGATTCTTACTTCTTTTCTTTATTTTTTTTTTTAATTTGTTTCCTTTTCTTTTTTTCTTCCTTTTCTTTTTCTTTAGTGGACTGAAAATCAAAGCTTTAACCCTTAGCCTTTACGCAAGCTCGAATAGTTGCTGTCTGGATAGTTAGAAGTCATACTATTTAACAATTTAAACACGTCATATCCTTGTAAAAGTATTCCTGGGCCAACCACAATCTCTGCTTTGAATACTAAATAAAACATTAGTGCTCAAATTTAACTGCTCTTCATAGTTCAGTATTAAAAGGTCTCTTAACTTACAATATTACATGCCTTTTAACTTCACCAAAAGTAGTATTTATTCAGTCTGCATGCTTTTAAACTCGGATTGTATTTCAGGTAGCAAATTAAATTGACACAATGTTTTCTACCATCTCAAATAGCTATAGCTGTATCTGTAATGTGTTCTTGTTGACATGTTTTTCAAATTGGCTACTACCAATCTAGCTAGCTTTGCTGTTCTGTGGTGTCAAAACAGGGTTGGTATGATTAGATAGGCAGAGAAATGTACACAATTGGGCTGATTTTATATGGGGCGTCTCTTGCTAAGAATCAAACTTACTCAATGTTAATGTAAAATTAAAAAATAAGCTAAAATATCAGTAAAGAGCTTCAATGGGTACTTTCTAAAATTCAGTATAGTCCGAGTTTTTGCATCCATTGTACCTTACTGTGTGCATTTCGAACTTAGATGCAGTTGCTCTTATGATGCTATCACATCTAACTTTTCTTTTTAAATATTTTAGGTTTTACTGCAATCACAACAACTAATCCCATTTGGCTAGTAAAGACACGATTACAGCTTGATGCAAGGTAAGAATCTTAAAAAGAGCATCTCCTGGTGACGATGGGAAATCTCACTGCTGTGATAAGACTTCACTTAAATGTTGTGAATCTGTTCTGTATCCTAAAATGGGATGATTCCTTAAATATCCACGATTTCGAATTAGAAAGTTGATGCTGATCTCTCTACAATTTACACTGTCATTTCTCTCTACTTCAATCTCTAAGACACACTTGAGGCACTGGAATAGACAGGCCAGCAAATCTGGAATGAATTAGAAGGTTACAGTCTCATTGAAATAATACTCTACCAACCATATGCATCTGTTTTCCTGCGGTAATGCATCCGCTCTGGTTTTAGTTGTTGAGCTAAACATCCCTGAAATAAGGGTTTAAGTATTTTAGCAAGAGTTTAGAAAAATGCCTTGAAACATCCTGGTTTTTATTTTTTACATACTCTAGTCTACTATGAAAAGAGCAAACTGCTTTCATGGATCCAAACACAGGAATTGTCCTAATGCAGGATCATCAATAGAAATTGTTTAGGATTATTACAGAATCGGTTACAGAAACTGTTTATTGTTACAAAACTTGTAAAGTGGTAAAATTTGAAGCAAATAAGGAAGGAAGACTGTATTCCCATCTATTTAAAACTAAGGAGAGACTGATGTGATGCAAGTGTCTCAGTGCAACTGCCTTGTTCATTTTATAGACTTTCTTACTGAAAACTTAGCACACAATGTAAAATTCTTTCTTCAGCCATCCTGAATACATTAATGAGCCACATATTCCTGTTCTGGAGATCTGTTAGACTTTCTGTATTAAGTGCATATTAGCATTTTTCCTCTTAGCGGGTGCATTGTCAGCTGCAAGATGACCATAGTAAACATATTGCAGAACTAATTTTACCATGAGATTTTTTTGTGATGTCACCATATGATTGTGGTGATAATTCCATGACTAATTCTAAGGGGGTTTTGGTGCTATGTGCAACTGGATGGCGTCTTGTGCCTCCAATTGTTTTTTACTGATTAATCAGTAAAATCTAATTTAATCAGGATTGCTTGTGCACATTATTTCTCTCTACATTATATCAAGCATATCGATCACATAAGAGACCTGAAGAAGGAAATACCTTCTGTCTTTGTAGGATACTGCAATTACATGGGCTAATCTAGCACGTACTGCATTCTTAGCTCTTCTAATTCAGTTCTTCACTGCAATTACAGGGCTGATCTAGCACGTGCTGCATTCTTAGCTCTTCTAATTCAGTTCTTCTCTACATTATATCAAGCATATCGATCACATAAGAGACCTGAAGAAGGAAATACCTTCTGTCTTTGTAGGATACTGCAATTACATGGGCTAATCTAGCACGTACTGCATTCTTAGCTCTTCTAATTCAGTTCTTGAGAAACAAAAACACTTGTCCTGTGGGATTATCCTGGCCTGATCTTGTTTGTTGAAGTTCTTCTCAAAAATCCCACTGGTCCCAGTAAGAGCTGGAGAAGGCAAAAGTCCCACTGGTCCCAGTAAGAGCTGGAGAAGGTTACATTATATCAAGCATATCGATCACCTGGGAGACCTGAAGAAGGAAATACCTTCTGTCTTTGTAGGACACTGCAATTACAGGGCTGATCTAGCACGTGCTGCATTCTTAGCTCTTCTAATTCAGTTCTTGAGAAACAAAAACACTTGTCCTGTGGGATTATCCTGGCCTGATCTTGTTTGTTGAAGTTCTCAAAAGTCCCACTGGTCCCAGTAAGAGCTGGAGAAGGCACGTCATTTTATTTCCAAAGTGGCATTGCTTTGGCCTTCGTGACAGTGTTGTGCATCTTGCACATCAGAAGAACAAACTCTTAGAGCAGTCTGGCACATCATTTTATTTCCAAAGTGGCATTGCTTTGGCCTTCGTGACAGTGTTGTGCATCTTGCACATCAGAAGAACAAACTCTTAGAGCAGTCTGTGTCAGTGCACCCATCCAGGTGTACCAGGGATGTGGGCATTGGGGTGCCCCTGGAGCTGGCAGCTGTAGGGCCAACTGCTCTTCTTGCCAGTTGTTCTTTGGCTCTTTTCTTTTGCCTGTCAGCAGGTCAGCACCAGCCCCGCAGTCCTCTGCAGCACCTACTGCCTCCCTGACTGATGTGGTTTGCAGCTGTGTGTGCCCACTGTTTCTCTTAGTTATGCTTGGTACCAATGATGCTGTCTGACACCGCAGGCTCTAACCATCAGGACTTAAATTCTGCATCTAGTGATACCTCCTACTTGCGTAATAGCTACTGCCACTGGCTGTCTTGCTGTGAGGGTACCCATACCAGTTACTACCAGTTACTGTAACTTCTTACAAGGTTTATTTGCTGGTTTGTTCTGTGGGACTTGCCCACTCGGGAGACCTCTGCTGGCAGAATCCACACGCTTCAAGTGCCCGCACTCGCTGCTGCAATGAAGCATATTTTATAGAGTTTCATAATGTTTTGTATAGCTGAGTACAGTATACTAAATATTTCAATATACGCAAATCGGTTTACTAAGCAAAAATGGGAACAAGATTTTATTTACCAAATATTGGTTGATATAATCACATCTATTGAGCATTTCCCTTGACATCAGCAGTGGCTTAATTGAATCAAATTGAATCATCTGTTGTACTGGTTGGTATGTGCCCTTTGGATATCCTAGTTGTTTGCTGATGGCTGTGATGTTGTGAGAACTGCTTGTTGTTTGAACTCTTAGCTGCTGCTTCCATGTCTGTGTGCCTTACAGCCATGTAGCCATAGAATCCTTTAGTTTGGGCTGAACTGCAAGACCTGCACTTCTGAAACAGGATTGGTAATTCCCGTGCTATGGAGCTGTTTGAAGCAAAATTTAGGGAAAATCCACTTTCATCATGCAGAAGAAAATGGTCATTTTTCATGAGTGATTGACATTTGCAGTTCATATGGGAGGCTCTTTTCAAGCAAGTTAGTCCTTTATTCTATAAGACTTGGGGAGGCCCAGAGCTGTTCAGCTTGTCTACGTGATACTTTAGTCACCACGTGAAGTTTGGCTTGGATTCAGTGTCAGGCTTTACCTGTGTTTAGTGCTTGAAGGCCTTTGGGACTTCCACTTCAGGCTGTGTGTTCTTAAATGTGTCTGAATTGGAGCCCCTCAGCATCAGTGTGAGATGTTTCCTATGTCCTCTTGTCACTGAAAAAAGGTTTAATTATTTTTCCAGTCTCAAGTTGCACCAGCTTGATGCTTGTCTTATTCTCTCCTTCCTAGGAATCGTGGAGAAAAGCGAATGAGCGCTTTTGAATGTGTCCGAAAAGTTTATCGATCAGATGGTTTTAAAGGCTTTTACAGAGGAATGTCGGCATCCTACGCAGGCATATCTGAGACTGTTATTCATTTTGTTATTTATGAGAGTATCAAGAGGAAACTATTGGAGTATAAGACTGCTTCTGCCATGGACAGTGAGGATGAAGCGGCAAAAGAAGCTTCGGACTTTGTTGGAATGATGATGGCTGCTGCCACGTCTAAAACTTGTGCCACATCAATAGCATATCCTCATGGTAAGTGGGGCACGTGCAGCTGAGAGCCTGAGGCAAAGTGATCAAAGGGAGTCTTTTTGGTGATATTTGTAGCAGACTTTGACTGGCTTAAGAACTATTTCTTTGTCTAAAGCTTTTCATATCAGATTCAGCGCGTCAATGAGTGCAGCATTCAGGAATGGAAGTATTTTAAAGTGGATATCTAACATGGCCTCTTCTTAGGCAGTGTTTATTTTGGCAAAGGATTTGCTGGAGTATGGCCCAAAGTACTGCAGGAGAAGGTCTTTTTGCACTTGGAATCTCTCAATACACTCAGCAATTTCACATAATTTGCCAACAAGTTCTTGTCCCCTTTCTAGGAAAACAGACTGTCTGGTTCAGTTTGCAGTTGCATGTAATTTTTCTGTGAAGTAGTTGTGTATACATAGAGTGTGTTAGTGGGTTGAGTACTTCACTAGTGGGAACTCTCAAGCTAAAACATAAGCCCAAAGAAAATTCCTCTTCTGGACTTCTAATTAAGAAAATGAACTTTCTTTGTTTCGTTAGCTATCTAATACTGGCACAACTTTAACTTGTTCTCCTCTTATGCTTACTTAGTTTGCTTCTCTGTCTTCTCCATTTTTAAAGAGTTCTTCTGAGACTGAAAACTTGGGGAGGGGGAAGTTTGTAATGTAAAATCACTAATTTCTGGGAAAGATGATGAAAAGTGGTGAATATAACCACATGTGGTTTTCTTTGTACAGAGGTTGTACGAACAAGACTAAGAGAAGAGGGAACAAAATACAGATCTTTCTTCCAGACACTATCTTTGCTTGTGCGAGAAGAAGGTTATGGATCCCTCTACCGAGGTTTAACTACACATCTGATCAGACAGATTCCAAACACGGCTATCATGATGTCAACCTATGAAGTGGTAGTCTACTTGCTGGATGGATAGCAGCGTGACAAGGCTTCCTAGAAGAAGGTAGAAGATTGAAAGACTGGAGTGGACCACTGAATGTCAGTGCCAGTGTGGTGGGCAAAAGGAAAGTTATGAGGAACATGCAGCTATGGACAAAACAGAAGGTTGACTCTGGGCAACTATGGATAATTTTGCTGCCTTACTGTGTGTGGTCTCTTGGCAATGTGACAAATGGGAACTGCCCCTTAGGGAATGCCTTTACACATCTCTTAATTCAAAATTGTTAGTTTTCATCTGTTAATCTAGACAAGGCCATTCAGTCATCTTCAGGACTTGAAGGATGAGGGCGGGGGCATAAAATACATTCTTGGGCAGCCTTATTCATTTCTCTTAGTGGTTGCTTTCAACTACATCCTTTTTGTTGCTTTACTGCACAGTAGCCTGTTGGAAGAATGGGGAAGACAGTACTTTCTATACCTTTCCATGCCTGAAACTTCCATTCAGTTGCTCTGAAGATTCCTAGAGGCTGAGGTAGTAGTCAGTGTGTAGAGTTTTCCATGTTGCTACCTCAAGACAAAATATGGCGCAGGGACCCAGAACAGAGTTTTTTTTTCTTCACTAAACAGGTGATACTTGTTTTTTTCTTTGAAGTTTGAGCAGTGTTGTAGGTTAGTGAGAAAGGATCTGATTGTTGAACTCTCCAGGTTATCATCTCTCAGTATTGGTGTATGTAGATTTCTAGTGCTGCTGCATCATCCTTTTTCTCTTCTGGAACTTTTCCTTCCTTAGGCAAGAGAGACCTGTGAAACACTCTGCCATAGCATCTGTTTTCCTTGCCACCCTGTGTCAAGTCACTCACAGCTAAGCAAGAACTTGCTGAATGCTACTTTGTAGCTTTTTAAAGGTTTCTTAATGTGATGAGAAATCTCAACTAGTCCAGCCTGTCATTTGTGAAGACAAGATTCACTCAAATAGTTTCATGCTACTTAAGAATGAGCTGTATTACCTTCAAATGTCTGGCAAAGCCTGACTTGTATTACCAGTATCTGTATTGGGAGTACAGGGGAAGAACACATCGCTATGGCTAGGGTGGCCAGAAAGCAGAAAACTGTAGAAGTTGTGATAGATATTTTTTTTTTCTGTGCAGAGTGATGGAGAAAATCATAAGTGAGATTTTCTTGTAAGCATTCCCCTTGATAGCTGCTGTATCACTTCTTCCAACTTGAGCCTGTGCACAGAACTGCAGCTGACAGTACAACCTTGTCCTCCAAATTGTCTGAATACTCAAGTTTTGTTGTTGCAAAACAAAATGAATATTCAGCCAATTGCAAAATGTGTTGCATTCAGCACCAAGGCTTAGCTAGTTCATTATGTCATAATTTACAGGGTTTTCCAAAACCATACAGTTGAGTGTCAAAATCGGAAGTTTAATGTTACAAGAACTTGTACAGCTTTCCAAACAGAAATCTCTACCTGCACCTTGAGTTCTTCTTAGTCTGTATCCATGATCCTTATGAGGAAGATGATAATCAATTTTGGGCAATAGCTTTCTACATATAAATGCTGCTACACTGGTGTGGACAGAACTGTGCTATCAACTCTTCCAGTGTAGTACTTCAGTTCACTTGAACTGTGCATTGTGTGCAATGGCTTTATTTTATGAATGACTCCTTATGCACTTTGTGGCCTTCTTATGGCTTGTGACTTCTCTTCCTCTTGTCCTCTGTCATCAACCTGTGTTCAAAACCATGCAGTTTGTTTTTAAACAAAGCATGTGGTTTGATCTCTGTGTGAGCTGTGCAGAATAGAATATTTTATGCTGTAGATCCATAGCATCTTTGTTGCAGTAGTTCTGTAGGCTGTATGGAAAAGCTTGAAGCTTACAGAACAACCAGTCTGGGCTTTTCTCGTTTGCTTTCCTTTTATTTTGACCCTTGTTGTGTTCTCCACACAGCGTCGAAGTGTTGGAGTACTTCATGTAATTTGTTTTACTAATTGCTGATACTTCTAAAAGCCACCTAGAGTATGTGCAGCGACCTCTCAGTGGAGGTTTTGGCCGCATTAACTTCCTTCTTGGAAAATGTTATCTTAAAAACAGAGAGCGTGGTCTGTGATGTGCCCACAAAGGTGAACTTGATTGTTTTAAAGAAGCAAGGGGAATGTTTAAATGTGTGCTGTAGTGGGCTTTTTCTAGTTACCTTCCCAGGAAAAATCTGGAGTACTCATGACTCTGACTTAAGCCTTGCTGTGATGCTCTTGTTCAGGTACCAAGTGCAGGAACAGCTACTTACTGTAACTTTTGTTCTGTAGACGGTGGGTTACTCTTCAGGCTGTCCAGATTATTCAGGCATGGCCAAAACGTAAATTGGCGAAGACAATATTTAGCTTTGGAGTTAATGAATACAATTAATACTTGGATTAGCCTAGACTTCATGAGAGTTACTCTCCTCTGTCTACTGGATACGTTCTCCCTTGGTTACATGTTCATCTCCCATTAATTCACTGGGTACCGTGTGTGTGCCTTGTCTGGGTGAGAACAGACCCCCTGGAGCTGTCAAGTAGAAGATGTTGACAAGGACAATTGAAAATATGGGAGGCAACAGCTAAAAATGGACAATCAGCTTATTATTCCACCTTTTTAATGGGTGCTTAAGCAATGTTTTAAGCTTCAGGGGTGATCTTTTTGGCTTGCTTTACATAACAAAACATACATCCAAAGTTTCCTGGGATTTTGTTATTTTTAAATTGCTGGTACATACAAAGTTACCTCTGAAACATTTCCCAAAGATCTTTAAATTATTTATGTAGTTTTCTTGATATTTATTTTAAAAAGTCAAAGGGAATAAGAAGATGCTACATTCAGTGATACCCTTAACTACAGAAGTAACTGAAAGGAGTGCATTTAAACTTTCTTATAACTTGAAGGGTCATCTTGATTCGTATTTGAGTGTAATGTATTTGTCACACTTCTCTGTGCTAGAGGCGAAGGACTTGGATGCGTGAAAAACTCTCAGTAATTAGTTTCCACGTATTTCCCTTGCCTAGATGAAACTGCAATGTTATTGTGAGCTGTTAGCTGTGGCTCAGCAGCTGGGAAGGTTTGGAAATGCTGTGAGGCTGCCGTTTCCTGAAGCAGTCAAAAGATGGCACTGGAGGATGGATTCGTCCCGGGAGAGGGCTTCCTCTGCCCGGCTGTGTGACAGCACTGGTTGTCTCTGAGTCTCTGTGCCAGACTGGGGGGACGTGGCAAGAGTGGCCCGAGTTGGAAAGCCATGAAAAAACAGACTTTAGTGAACACCGTCCCATTTCACAGCCCCTGTTTTACCCATCCATCCCTGTAGAGCTGTGTGAAAACTGGTGAGGTGTCTGTGTTGCGGAGGCTGAGCCCAGCCTTCAAACTGACAGATAGATCTGCTGGTTGTCTGAATTTCTGATCTGCTAGCCTGTCTTGGTTTTAAGTAGGTTTACACTATGGATTTATGGAGTTTTTTGATTTAATTATAACTGAAACATCAGCCAGTCCACTTGTATATTGACACTGCACCTCTCTAGTTCCCTGTTTACATAATGCACTCCATATATTTCCTTTCTGATTGAGGTGTGTGTTAATGAGTTTCTGCTGTTCTGTTTGTTCTTATGACATTTGTAACATTCCTCAGACTGTAGCATTTTAAAAGAATGCTTCCAGAGACAAAAGATTGGAGAGCCTCTGTAAATGTTGCTTCCTGTTTAAACTGTTTCAATTTGGAAAACCAGCTGAACACTGAAGTGTGCCAGGTAAATGTACTGCTTTTTTTCAACTTTCTGTCTGCTAAGACTCAGTTACATAAGGTTTTTTTGGTTTTTCTGTTTAAGAGAGTCTGCCTACCCTGCATATGTGAACATAATTATGCCCTCGGAGTCATAGCTAAACACTCACAAATGACAATTTGAGAATACTTCAGTGTTCATGTGAGGTTTGCTATTATTCTTGCATACATGTAGCTGGCTGTAAACTATGTGCATTTACTCTGTAAAAGCTAACTTCTTTTGTTTGGATTGCTTTAAACTTCAAAGCAAATTAAAATGATGTGCTTCTATTCAAATGTTGTCTTCTGTGCTAAACTGTACACTATTTTTAACCTTTTATTTTTTTTGTTATTGATACACCAGTGCCTGGACAGTTGAGATTAAAAATGAGCAATTCATTAGGAGATCCCAGTGAATCATTTTTTCTTGTGCCATTTTATACTAGCTGAAAACAACATATATGTATTGTACCTATAGTATGTTCTTTTCGGAGGGGTTCATGGATGACTTAAACTAGTCAGCTGTGTGCTTGCAGTTGGGATTTGAACACAGTTACCTTTGCACAGCTACCTGTTACTGTCTGGCAACTGAGATTCAGGAACTAGTGATCAGAAGATTTGTGTCCATATAAAGTGCCAGCTGGCACAAACCACTGCTGACAAACATGAAGGCCAGCAGTTCCTTAAGATGTTCAGACTTAATTGCATGTGCAGTTATAACCAAGTCCTCGAACCTGAAACATTATTAAATGTCCTTTCTCTCAACAGTAGGCATTTGATCTGAAGTCTGGGCTTGGAAATCATTCTGCAAATACATAGGTGGATGTTATTTCGGGGCGGGGGGGGG